AGTTCTTACCAATGAAGTACCTGAGTCGAGTATTATAAACGGATTCAAGGCTACAGGAATATACGATTTAGAAAAAGGTGGTCCAAACAAGGATGCTATTCCTTTGTCAATTTTTAAACCTGGCGACTTAAAAAGGTATAGAAAGAATGCATTACCAGTTACTGCAGAGGAACGAATCGAAGCCATTCCGTCAACTTTCAGTGGCTCTCAAACCATTGACGTGATAGTAGTAGCAGAGCAACAAAAAAACGAGCCTTCCACTTCAGATATACAAGCTCCGCAACTGAATGATCAACCCCCAAACAACGTTGTCGATGAACAACCGAGTACATCTAAGTTTGTTGGGAATGCAACAGCCACGACAGGTGGGAATTTTTCTGAAAAAGAGTCCGAAAGACCAACACGAAAAAGTTTTGAAGATGTATTATTGGAATTTATCAACAAGGATACAGAAATAAAGCCAGAACGAAAACGTAAAAGACTGGTTACCAATTGTGAAATCATAACAACAGCAGAATATTTAATCAAAAAGCAACAAGAGGAACTTGAGAGAACAGAAATTACAACAAAAACAACTAAAGCTCTTACAAAAACAAAAATTTACAGAAAAGCAAAATGTTAAGAAGATTATGCAAAAAATAAAGTTAAAAACGATAACTCTTCCACTGATAATGAAAGTAACTACTCTCTACGTGAAAGCGAAGACTTGTCTGACAGCGATGAAGAAATAAATTTGAGCATTTTCCCTGAAGACATTTTGCATGCTGGTGACTTTGCTGTAGTTAAAGTTTTTGGAAAGGATGATTTATCTTTCAGAATGTATATTGGAAGAATACAAAATACTGATGCTGAAGGTTACGAGGTTAAATTTTTGAAGAGACATGGCCAAACTATGAGGTTTCAAGAAACGGAAGAAGAATCGTACGTTCAAAGAACTGAGATAGTCAGAAAATTATCACAGCCTTTAACAAACAAATCAGAACGGTATCGTAATATGGTTTCTTTTAATACTGAGCTGACCGATCTAAATAACCTTATTGACTAAAGCTATCTAATGGTTTTTGATTTATAAAGGCCAAAAGTTCTGAAAAATGTTTTATTTTCAAGCAAAATTATTATTTTTTCCTTAAATAAATATATTTTCACATTTCGTTTAAAGGTTGTTCCAAAATGTAATTTTTTCATACTTTAAAGTGTTTGTAGTAAATAAAGCACTTTTTTATGTGACTTTCTTTTTTATGTGACTTTCTTCTTGATTTTTCATTAGTTAATTGGTATTTGTTTATTTGCACACGGCCTAAATAGTCAAAATAAGAAAAATATGTGTAATCTGTTGTATTTTTTTGAAAATTTAAAAGTTCTAGAATAGGCCCAGATGCCTCAAACTAAATATAATCATCCTACTTAAACAATATACACGGGTGGTCCAGTAATCCCAGTTGTCTGGGGCAACTGGGCCCACCGGGGCAAAAAAAGAAATAATTTTTTTTCCCAATTACCTAATTTACAATTAAATCGTGTAACACGTAAGTATTCTTAACTGAACCTGCCTTAAGACACACACGTATTCAAAAGTTCATTTCAATTAACATTATATGTTTATTGGCAGTACAAATGTCTCGACCATGACCCAGTTACCCCACCTTACCCCACCTTACCTTATAGCGAGTAACGCGTTTAACGGCCCTGATGATAACTTTGTTGACCAGGCCAATAATTTGGATGACCAGATATTGGATGACTATCCTGAAAATGTAAAAAACAATCTTCCAAGTGACATTTTTTCCACTAATTTAAATGACCAGGGGATTCAAAATTTATGCGATACCGTACTTCAAAAATTAGAGTGTATTGTTCCTGAAGCTACTCAATACAATCAAAATACAAAAGATTACGACGAAAATAAAGAAAGCTGTGAAAAACTAAGAAGTCAAAATAATAACAAACGTTCGTGTAATATTGATGACGTTTACTTCTCAGAAAATCCGAGTGACACAGAAACATCATTCAATGATGATCCTGATTACATACCTGTAATAGAGTCAATAATACAAGACATAGAAAATGTAAGAAGTAATAAGTTTGAAAACATTAACTTGGAAGAAAATAAATCTGATCAGCCCAATTTTCACATTACCGCAGACCACGTAGAAAATTTGGAAACAGAAAGAAAAACTAAAAAAAGAAATGTTAAATCACAAGAAGGGGAGTGGAATAGAAATGAGATAAAAAAACTTAGACTGAGTGGAAAAGCGTATAAGGGTTATAAAATAAGTAACTCTGGGGTTATAACTCAAGGTATACCTAGACCTCAAAGAAAAATTTCAGAAACTTGCAAATCTGTTTCCTGCATAAAGAGTACTAAACACTTTTGCCAGTTATTTTCAGAAGATGACAGACTTTCCATATTTACCAAGTTCTGGAATAATATGGAATCCGGGGAACAAAAAAAGGTGTATATAATGGGAAATGTTGAATATGTGAAAAAAAAAGAGAGAGTCTACTAAAGGTCCATCACGTCGAAAGGGGACGTATTTTTATTACTTACGAACAAAAGACAATGAAAGAAAAAGAGTATGCAAGAAGATGTTTTTGGGAACATTAGGGTTAAAGGAAAATATGGTACACAATTGGATTGGCAGTACTGAACATGGTTTAAACACAAGTACTATGGAAGAAGTAAAATCATCAAGAACGCGTAGCGATAATGGCTTTAAAAATGAAAAAAAAATATATTTGAGAGAGTGGTTAGAAAGTTTACCAAAACTAAGTTCCCATTATTGCAGAAAAGATTCGCAGAAGTTATATCTTGAGCAAGTTTTTCGGACAAAAATAGATTTGTACCGTGTTTATGAAACTTACTGCAAAGACAATGATAAAAAACCTACATTGTCAGTTTTCCGATATTTGACGATATGTTAACGCAGATGAATATTAGCCTTTATAAGCCAAAAAAAGATAAATGTGATGTATGTTGTTCTTTTGAAACTAATAATATATACGAAATGGATTACAAAAATCATTTAGAAAGAAAAGATAGAGCCCGTAAATAGAAGGAGGACGATAAAGCAAAAGCTTTAAGGGGAGAAACCTATACATTGGTTGTAGATGTTCAAGCCGTTAAAATTTGCCCAGTGATTAACGCAAGCGCAATTTATTATAAGATGAAATTAAATTGTCACAATTTTACCGTTTACAATTTGGCGACACACCAGAGCACCTGTTACTCATGGAGGAAGGATAATTAAGAGTTACCGTTTCTTTGAAGAAATATGGCAACAGGTTTGCTTGCAGCGCCACCGGTAAGGGATTTGTCCAACTATTTCTCAGTCGGTAATATAGATACCTGCATATTTTATTTTATTTAAAAATTAGCGGGATTTTGTTTGTAGCCCTACTTTAATTAGTATAACTAAAATTTTGCATTTTTATTGGCATTTTTTACAACACAGACAAGGTGCAAGATGTAACAAAATGCCAATCAAAATGTAAAATTTTATGATCCATAATTTTAGGAAGGGTAAAATAATGTAATATAAAATAATTGTATTATCTATTATATCATTAAAACTAATTTATAATAAATTTTCTAAATAAACAATATGTTAATAAAACAACTAAAACTTTCTGTAAACTTGGGTAGGTAACAAAACACATTAAGGAGAACCATCCATATAATCTGAAACAGAAAAAATTCAAAGTAGTATTTTAACTTCATATCATTTTGAATCTCTTTTTTCTTTTAGACATTGTCACAGTTTTATACTTTCATTATAATATTTTATAATTAATAATGGTAGTCCCTTCATCTTTTAATTAGATGTAGTACTTTTAAAAAAACAGATGTCTGCGGGATCAAGCTTGAGGTCCTTCTTTGATTCGCAAATTTTACTTTGCTGTTTTCTAATTATAAAATAGAGTTTTTTCTCCCTTGGAGCTAACCATTCACTGGATTGATTTAAAAATCCAAGAGCTAATTATTGTTTTTTAGGTAATAATTATATTTCATTGGATGAAATTTTAATCGAATGTAACTTTCTTTTCACTGGTAATTTGTTTGACGGTATGATAACAATATTACTTTAGTATTACTCTTTACTGTTAATTTAGCTTTCAAGGGTACCAAAGGTAAAGCCAATTTACAGTCTTGTAACCTATAAATGGTTTTTCGCAAATGGAATGATGAAGTTTATGCGGCATCATTTAGTTCCTTGCTTAAGGGGTTACATGGGTTTCCTGAAGCCAAAAACGGCCTATTTTCAATAAAAAAAATTTAATATTAAAAATAAATTATTTTATTTAAACTTTTAATTATTACAAAGACACATATTTTAAGGAGATAATGTAAAATTTTCAAAGGAAAATATTAAAAACTCGGCCATTACGACGTCACTTCCGGTAGTCCCTCGGAAAAAAGGTGCCTCCGCGTTGACAGCAGAACTTCTTACAGGATCATCTGAAGTAAAAAAAAATACGTGTTTTAGTTAAGACTATAAACTATGTATTAGACGAAGGAAAAAAAAAGTGAAAATTGCATGTTTGGCAGAAGTTTTTACCAAAAACATGCCAATTTTGGTGAAAATTTCTTGCTTTTTTTTTTTAATTATAACTATTGGAAAAAAAATTCTTCATTTACTCTCTTGTACATTATGTCTCGAAGACCTGTGTAAAATTTCATTAAGATCGGTTGAGCAGTTCGCGAGAAATCTTGACAGCGGACTTTGAAAACACGGTTTTGAGAAAAACGCGTGATAATAAAAGTGGAAAAAAAAATTTTTTTTTAACTTACATTGAATCATCGATTCCTGAGCCATAAAGTGAAGTACCTGCAGCAGCTGCAATGTCCAGGGCTTCCTTTTGTTCTTGTCTATGACGAACCCTGGCTTCACGAGTCTCGCTAGCAGATTTTTTTCGGCTGCGCACACACGGTCTTCATCCATTTTTCGGGCATATTCGTGGGAGTTTGGACCAAGTTTCAACTCCATATCTTGCATAATTAATCATAAGGCTGATATACCTTCATTAAAAGTACAAGCAGCAATTGATGCAGCAATTTGAACTATTTTGGAGCCAGCTGGAAGTATTTTGGGAGTAATTTTCCAGATCAGCTGATTGAAGCTTTCATTATTATTTTGTGTGAAACCACCAACACACCGCTCCAAAAGCTCATCCTTACTCAGGTCTTCATAAATAGGTTTCATTGCAGTCAAGACATCATTTGGTAATGGGGTATAATCGTGTTTGAATGATGAAAGAGTATTTGTTGCCGATGCTCGCTGCCAGGTGCACCACGAGTCTGGACCTTCAGGGCAATTTTGATGTTGAGGTTTTTTATCAGTAGAACTGTAGTGGTAGTAAGTAGCCCATATCGCGTCTTTCATTTTTTTCACTAAATCACAGTTTCTTCTTATCACCAAACCACAGTAAACAGTCAACTTGTCAATTAATTTGTTAGTCAATTTACCTTTGCCAGAAAGAGTTTTTTTTTTGAGTTTTTTTGCCTTTGACTATCTTGTCCTCAACAGTTTTCTTTACTAAGTCACGTAACCGGGTGCCCATCCTCTTCTGTACATGTCCCACGCATTCTTTCTTGTTGACCACAAAATCTTCACCGTAAGGTTTAGCTTTAAGAATACCAGAGTATGTTTTAGAATCTCCATCTCCTATATAATTGAAAAATCTCAAGCCATATTTAACAATAGAACGTTTAAACATTTCAATAATTGAAGATACTTCCATGTTCCCAGATGCTCCAGTATGATTGGCAGTACATTCATCATTTTGGATGTGTTCTTCTTTCCACTCTTCAAATTCTGCCGTAGCTAATTTTTTTTTCCAAGACTCACATAATTTACAGTAAGAACATTTAACAACGATATCCAAGACTTTTCCTGAATAGTATCCAATTAGAGAGCTGACACCATACAGGGATGCGAAACCACGCTTTTTCCACGTCCCATCACCAGAGACAGTCACATCTGTTGTATCTTCAAGGTTGTTTTCAAAACTCGTCAATTGCTTTTCCTCTTTAGCAGCTGAGGAGAGCAGTGTCTCAGTAATTGCCACAATACATTCATGTATTTTATTAATGTAAAAATCGTATGTTGAATGATTTATAAAGGAACTGCTTATATCCATCAAACCGCAAAACTTTTTGCATCCAGCAAGACCCAAGCCCAATATTCGCATAACAAAAATGAACCGTCTATTTAGTTCATACATTTTACCGATTTGCTGACATGACAAAATATATTTTGGTTCACATCGTTCACATTCTACCATAATTTTGAATTCCAGGCCGTATTTGGAGCATTGTTTAAAATCAACTTTTCCATTACACAATTTATTTTCACCTGCACTTTTAATAATGTTTGAACACCGCACAAAACACGAAAGTGTAGAAAAAACCAGAGCAAAGTCAATGATTGAATATTGGAGTGTGGCTTCCTCTGGCACGTGCTGTTTATCATCGCCTTTTAATTTTTTTGCCGACGCACTCGTGAAAGAATTATTCATCTCAGGATTTTTTGGATTATACGACTGTTTCCTTTTCTTAGGTCTATCTTTTCTATGAGCACCTTGCGCTAACATGGCTCTAGTTACTTTTCTATGCATTTTAAAACAAATAAACTTGATAACGAACACTTATAACCTCAAAATAAACCTCGTGATTCAAAGAGAAATTACCAACTAAAATATACCTAACTAGTTTCCCTTAGAGAGTGAAAGAAAGGGACATGAAATACGGCTAACAATAGACGAGCAGCTGCTCCGTTATACCTGCGCGCTAAGCCTATACTAGCTGACCTCGAGCGCACAACTTTTCAAGGCTGTATCTCCAAAACTATTACTCGGATCAACTTGAGCATTTAGGACAATATTCTAGAGATGTTATAGAAATAGATAAGACAATAAAAAAAATCGATTTTTTGAAGCCGTGAAACCCATGTAACCCCTTAATATCGGAAGGAAATAAAAAAATGTGTTCTTAAAATGTACAGCATAAATTGGACAGTAAATTGTACTATTTACCTTTATACAAACAACGCTATTACAATTAGATATTATGAATTTATTACGAACAGGATCTGCTAAACACATGTTAAAACATCAAAATATCTTTGCTTAATTTTAAATTTAACATGTTTAACTAAAACTAAAATTAAATAGAAGTAAAAGTACTTACCACGTTTTATTCAGCAACCATAACCATATTGTTTTGTTCAGTTTTGTTATTGTATCGGTTCGAACGGGTGACAATCCCAAAGTCAGATTTACATTGTACAAATAATTGATTAATTCATGTTTTTCAAATAATTGTAGTATTTATATAAATATATAATTTTAAAACAATACTTACCGTGTATTACTTTTGTTATTAAGCGAAATATATTTGAATTATTCAATTATTCAGTGTACTTTAAATTTAAATATCATTTTATTATTGTAAAACGGACTGATATGCGCAGATGTGTTGCGCACTAACCTGTTGTTATAACGCGCATGTGTTATAAGCCCCCCTGCTGTTACTGGTGGAACGAAACTGAAGGCGACTTGTCGGCATCTACATTTGCAAGTTTTTTGATTCATTACCTGAAAGAGAAATGCAGTGATCCTAAACTGCCCATTGTCATTTACTCTGACGGGTGCTGCTACCAGAATAGAAATGTTGTTATGGCCAACCCCTTGTTTCAATATTGCTTGGAGAATAATATTCTAATTGAACAAAAATTTTTAGAGAGGGGCCACACGCAAATGGAATGCGACGCAGTCCACAGTATGATTGAGCGAAAGTTAAAAAAACCGTTTTATCCATTTGCCAAGTGACTACGTAAACATAACCAGAGAGGCCAGACGAAATCCCTGTCCAATAGATACGTATTACCTAACACATGGATTTTTTAAGGACTATTCAAAGCCATCCTCTATTCGCCCCGAAAAAAAAAAAGAATGAGCCCTCTGTTACTGATCTCAGACATTTGCAGTACAACCCAAACGAAAAAAAAATTATGTATAAAATTAATTTTAATCAGTCTCCAGCCATTGCCATGTAGAAAGGTAAATTACCCTAACGTTACAGACTACCCCCATTACATAAAGAGAGAATAAAAATTAAGCTACAAAAGTGGAAACATCTCCAAGAGCTTAAATCTGTATTGCCTGCCGATTGCGCTGAATATTATAGCAACCTTCCACATGTTTCATCATCATAGTAGGTATAGTCTTAGGCATTAAACTGCTATTTCCTTATAAAATAATCTTTGTTAATTTTTCTAATAAAAATCATTTTCTTGTATTTTGGTGTATTTATTTGCTATAAAAATATTATAGAAAATAGCCCGTATCTACCGTTTGCTTTGATTTACATTTGCTAATATCCCGTATATGCATTTAAACCTATGAAACTTGTGTTTTACTAAAACTTTTATTTTTTGTTAATTGAATAAACATAATTGAGTACTTTAAAAATAAAATTTATTTTATCCACTAACTGTTTTTTATTGTCCATACCGTGTGCAGACATTTTTCGTATTGTTATATTATACAAAAATGAATTTAACATTAAAAAATATTGGAAGATAAAAAATAAAAGCTGGTGAAAAAAAACGTTGTTTACTACCGTGTATAAAGTACATTCTTTACGCACTACACCGAGGGCGTAAAGTTGAAATTTTTTTTGCTAGTGCGTAAAGTGAAAAAAGTTGTTTTAATGAAAAAAATAACTTTTATATTTCAAATATTAGTGGATAATGTATACGGTAGTAGAAAAAATATTGTATGCAACTCGTGTGTAAAGAGTAACTACACACTTTTTGTATAAATAACTATATTAGCAAAACACGGGCATCTAAATAAAGATAACCGTGAACAAAATGATGGACCTTTTTTCATTCACAGTCATGGCTAAATACTTACTACGTAGAAGGCATATTAAAAAGGATGAATTAGAATCTTGTAAATGGCAACAATGAAATTTTTCTATGTTCTAACGCCTCGTTTGGGCTGTGGTATTCGTTACGTGTGTTTTGTTTACTCGCCGTTCTTTTGTAGTTTCACAGATTGTCGTAATTTGTTAGCTGTGTGAATAAAATAGGGGTTATATTCTGTTTTTATATGTAAAGAAAAGATCCAAGTAAAAGTTATTAGCGTTATTTGCATAAAATCCGAGTGGAGTGAGACATACATAAGCGAAGCACAAGGTAAGGTCGATAAACTGAGGCATACATCATTTGTGTTCTCAACCTCAAAGTAAGTTTTATTTACATCTTTGCGAATAAATAGGAGTATTAATATTAATTTACCGATGTATTATATATAAATTTATGATTGTAGGTTAGTAATCATGCCTGGTGGAACGGTTTGTAGTGTGTCAACTTGCAAAAGTAATTCAGCAAAGGCAAAAGCGGATGGACAGAATTTGATGTTTCCTAAGGACAGTCAGATTCGAAAGCAGTGGGTCAGAAAGTGTTACCGCAAAGATAAATGGAACCCTGATAATAAGAGAGTATGCAGTAAGCATTTTAAGCAGCATGATTTTGAAGATAAAATGCAAGCAAGGCTGTTAAACATTCAGCCCAAAAAACTAAGATGGTAAGATTTTCTAAATTAACAGCGTACTTATCAATAAAAAAAATTCATTATTTTTTAGCGATTCCTTCAATATTTTTACTCGAGCAGGAAGAAACACATAAGACATCTGAAAGGAATAAACGTATGTTACAGAAAGAAAATAAATCGGTAGTAAAAGATTTAATCCGTAAGACCTCGAAGATAATTCCCATACCGACAAAAGTGTCTAAAGTTGATTATACTGCAATTATTGTTTCTGAAGTTCCTAGCACCTTAACAGAAATAGGTATTGAAATTTTACAAAGAAAATTAGAGGCAATGCAGAACGAGAATATATCGCTTAAACAGAAAATTTCCGATTATCAAAATGAGAACATTTTAAAAGCACATATAACTAAACTCCAGGAAGATATTACAAAAGATCAAATTAAGTTTAAGGAAAGGGTAAAGCTGGCTTTCAAAGACGTTCTAACATCAAATCAAGTCGAAATCGTCTTAAAAAATAAATGCAAAGCGCGTTGGAGCACAGAAGAGTTGTCTAGAGCTTTTACTATTCGTTATTTCAGCAAACGTTCCTATATTTATCTAAGCCAATCACTGCTACGGTGTTATCTTTTGATGAAGTTAAGTTACTTGAATACTGCGAAAAGGATGACGAAATAATGGGACCACATACCTACATGCAAGTAGTAATGGCAAGAGGATTATTTGATAACTGGAAACAGCCAGTATACATAGGTTTTGACTACAAAATTACCAAAGATCTGTTGGAAAATGTTGTTTGTAGTTACATAAAATTCAGTATAACGTAGTTGCATGTGTGTCCGATTGTGGTAGTGGGAATCAAGGATTGTGGAAGGCAATGGGTATTACAGTAGAGAACACTAGTTCCGAGCACCCCGTGACAAAACAACCTGTCTACTTTTTTGCCGATGTCCCACATTTATTAAAGCTGTTAAGAAATTGGTTTATAGATACTGGTTTTATTTTACCTGGGAATATAAAAATCAGTAAAGATCCAGTAAAATGTTTAGTTGACAGCACCCGATCAGAAATTAGCTCCTATTACAAACTAAAGTTACTACATTTAAAGTGTGACAGGACATCAAATTAGCAGCTCAGTTATTTTCTAATACCGTTGCCACAGCATTAAAACAGTACTTGACAAAATTGCAGCTAAGCAAACAGGTGATTTCTTCCAGTTAGTGAACGATTGGTCTGATATTATGAATTAATATGCTCTAACAAGTTCTCTTCCAACAAAAAGACCATATGGAACGAATTTAGTGCTTCAGAATGAAGTACTGAAACAAATGTTGTCCACAATTACCGAAATACGATGCACTGGAAAAGATTTTCTCCAGGTTTTTCAAAAGCGCATAATAATATCGACAAAATCGGTGCAAAGCATGAAACAGGAATTTGATATTAAATATATAACTACGCATAAATTGAATCAAGACTGTTTGGAAAATTTTTTCTCACAAGTATATTTCTGGTAAAACAGTTTTACTAACAAAACAAATATTCAGTAATTTTTTGAATTCTCTTCAAATTATGAGTTTTTGTATTTTTATTACTGATATGTTGCAAGGAGTCACCTATGAAGATGCATTTTGAGACTTACTTGTTGAAAAATTATAGAGTTTTAAGGACATGTATTTTGTAATTTTAGGTAAGGTCCCGTGGAGGACTGCACGACCACCCATCTCCGCATAATACCATATATAGAATTAGAATTATTTTACTTGGGAAAAACCCTGGATTAGTAAAATCTCACTCAAACGTAGGAACTTCCCCAGGAATTCTAGACGACCAGTATTTGTTGGCAAGTGCTCTTAAGCAAGCTAAACTTAATCGTATCATTATACCAGAAGCCGAGCTGCAACAAGTATGTGACAATAAAGTTTAAACTGAATGTAGTACATCCCCAAGTAGCACGGATTCTCATTTATCACGTGGGAAGCAATCAGAGAAGGATGGGCTTGCTCATATTGCTGGTTATTTGGCCAAGAATCACAAAGCAAAGCACCCTAACTTGGGAA